TTTTTTTTTTAAAATACAAAGCATACAAAATTTCCTAAAATTCATTGATTCTGGATTTTTGTCCGGCATACCACTTTCTCTTCTTTCCTCGAACGAGAAACATCTTTTACTCTTCCCTCTTATCCGCCACGGCGTGAGCGCCTTCCTTTATACGTGCTACATGTATCCCGCGAAATTTCGCTTTATTCCAACGCATCCAATAACGACTCGGACGGGTCGGTCCGAGCAGGACAGAGACGTTGCTGCCGCGCAACGTTAAGAAACTTCGAAGGGAGAGAAACTTTTATTTCAGCGGGACGCAATAAGAAATTGCGAGAGGAGCGCGAGGGACGACGAGAGTCGCAGCTACGCAGCGTGTACCACTAATTCGTCGTTCGCTTTTGTGCCGGTCACGACGAAGCGCGGCAGAGAGTGGCGTTACTTTTTCACTGTCAAAAGGGCGTCTCTACTCTAGCTGGCACGATCCTCGCGCGCGTCTTCCCTCGTTCTTGCCTCCCTTTTCTTAGGTCCTTAGCTAGCGCGTCAATGCCTCTTTCTTCCTCTTTCTTTGCCTCTTTTCTCCTTTCCTCCGTTTTTATTTTCCTTTCTTCTTTTTCTTTTTCTTTTTTTTCTTTTTTTTTTTTTTCGTAAAATAAGACTCCGACTCGCTCGCGTCGACACCCCGAGACGAATAAAGGAGACTCTCAGCGGGCATTCAGAAATGTGAAAAAACGTCCCGAGAGTGTGAATTTCACGCTGCTCGGAGCGTCTGGAAGGCGGCACACCGAACACAATTTATCTCAGCGAGCGGCGGACGCCGGTGGCCGTGAAAATTCGCGGACTCGAATCCGTCTTTTATCCTTTCACCCGGGGAATCACGAAACGTCGCGCGGCATGCTTCGACTTTTTTTTTACGGCAGCTTGCGTTAAATTCGCCAATGCGAAGATCCGTGCGTGCGAGATTCCCTGCGCGTGCGATGAATTATGCATCCGCGTGCATCGCGTTTGATACGACACGCCGTACGTATGTATGTTGGGAATTGAAGAGATGGCTGTGATTAAATTTAGGTTTGTTCCCCGGTTTGACGAAATTCTAATCGAAATTCGTTCATGCTCATTTTTTTTTTTTTTTTTTTAAAGTCGCATCGACGTTGAAGCCATTAGCGACTAGATACTTGTATGATACTTATATTTATGTACACTAACATTAAGAATTGTTTGAATCTCTTCAAATCTCCAGCCACTCAAAGTTTGTGCATTCATGTAGAATGTGTCGAGCTGTGACAGATTTTTGAGGAGGGAGAATCAGTCTTCTTGAACTCAGTGAATTATTCGTGAAAGAATTTTAGAAATAAACACGAAGAAACGTAGAACATAATTAGAATGTATGTTCTTGCGTTTTTATACTTTTACGAGAGGAAGAAAAGGAATTTAAGTAGAAATTAATTTCACTTGCAACATATAATATAATATGAACTTTAGTTTTCGGTATTTTGTACGTTTTATGATTTTTGTATAAACATGTATGAGCAGTATAACAATAATTTTCTTCGCTTTCTTTCCTACGTTAAAATTTAAAGCTTCTTCAGAATTGTTTCGACCATTTATTAGAATTTTGTGCATACGAACCGTTTTTCGATTGAAAGCAGTTTCTTCGTTGTATGTTTAATCAAAATAGTAATCTCTACATGATTTAATATATTTGTCCACGGTTATAACGACTGTTACATCTTATTAATAGAGTTATAATGTTTTTCACTCGCAGTGTCTTATAATTGATTGTAGATGGGAAATCTTTAATCTCGAATTTTAAACACATCTCTACATCAATTTGTAGGATATTTATAAATATAAACTTGTACAAGAAAATCACAGGATTGTTCCGCAATAATAAAGTTTTTCGATATTTTTATTATCGATAAATACGCATGATTTAAAAAATTCAAATCTCCATGACGTAGTGAACTTATTCTCTCTGTAATAGTTCGTGGTCCTTGAGAATGATCGCCTTTGCGCAGTGCACTCCCTGTACGACGACGTTCAGAACATGCGCGCGAATACCGAGTTGAAGCGAATTTTCTCCGCGGGTTAGCGACGTCAGGTGGAAACAGTGAAACGTCGAATTTCCCTGAAACACTATCGACACGGTTCGTTAATGGGATGGCGCGCGGGCGAGCCAGCGGAATTTCAAGACGCCGGTTAAATGGGCAACTCGACGAGTCGGCGAGGCATCTCGAAGAAACTCGAAAGGCATCCGGCTAATGATTTTTCGATTTTAACGAGCCGGTCGTTAGCGTGAGAGGCTCCTCCTTGGGAAGGTCTGCGCGCGCGCACTCGCGAACGCTCGATGGTAACGAAAAGGTTTCGTAACGAGGCGAGCTCTGCTCGGCGATGTAGAACTTTCAGGTTCCTTTCTTCCTTTCGCCGGCCGTGAAGAGACCGTGCGCCGCGAATAATAATCAAATCGGTGTATCGCGAGATTCTCCTTTTTTGTCTTCTCGCACTCGTACAGACCCTTCCCAAGAAGACGAACGATCATTCTCAAGACGCTGCTATAAACGTGCGGCTCATCAGACTCATTTAGGGGAGCCGGAGGTACATTGGTACAAGGACAGGCTTGATACGGTGAATAATGGACATATACATGAAGTTTTATCGGGAGATATGATCGTTGCAATGAAAATTATAATGTATATATTCTGTCTTGAGAGTCTTCTCAACGTGTCGATTGTGTGTTGTAATTTTTGGAAGCAGTTGTTGTTCGAGTCCTTGATCTAAATCGAATGATGTCGACCACAGAGTGAGATTGTCGGCTCAAATTGCTTTTCGATATTTTTATTAACTATTAAATTATTTTTAAAAAATCGTACTGGATAACGTACTTCCTTAATGTAACTGTGAAAGATGGCAAGCAACGCAATGCCTATTTATGCATGTAGTTTAGATTTAATTGAAAAGAAAATAATTAGGAGAGAAGGTTTCAACATGACTGACGTCGCGCCGATAATCGAAACCGAAAGCATTGTAAACTGATTGTGAGCATCGCGACCAAACGCTATGGCACTGTTCGATTTAAAATCTACATGGCACCAATCTTCTTTGTCAACTCTTTGCCATCGATAAACATTTTTTGTATCATCTACCAGCAATTTATTTATCACTCCAAATAAAATGACATAGCATTGAAAATAATTATTCAAATGGTATTTAACATGAAATTTTGTTGATTATATCTTCCTGATATGTAATTCTAACGTGTATATTTCTAACATATAATTCAAAGTTTTTAATTTATAATTTAAAGCAATGAGGGAGTTTGCTAGAACAAGTATAATATACAAGAGTTAATGACGCATAGTTTCAATCTCTAGGAAGATAATACCCTCTGTCTTATTTTAAACTTTCGTAAGAAGCAATAAGAAGTCCAGTTTATGTGAATTATTGAGTGTTAATTGACGTTTTTTAGAAATTTCTTCTTTTAAAAATTCTTTTGTTCTTCTCACGTCGTTGTTATAGCTTTCATTCTAGGTATCTGTTCAGATACTATACTATTATATGTATCTCATCATACAATGTACATGTTTGTTATAATTATCAGCAAATTATAAAAAAAAGAGGAAGACCGAGCTATTGGCTAGATTTAAGTACGATGTCTCCTCAGAAATAACATATATGTATATATATTTCTGATAATGAAATTTGAAGCAAAGGAAAACAGCAAACAACAACCTCAACAAGGGGAAATCCCAGAGAGGGAATTGCAATAGTAACGCACGCAGGAGTAAAAAAACGTCGAGCTACAGCGCGACACGTTCTCGCGACGTAAAAAGTGAAAATCGTATTACGAATGCTTGTGCCGAACAGGAACGTTTGACAGGGGAAAATAGAAGAAGCTTATAGGAATCCCGCCTTTAACCGAGAGAAAATAGCTCCCGCTCGTTACTTTGAAGTTGGCCGGAAGTGGATCAACGGCGGAGGGAAAGAAACGCATCTTTTGTGACGCCCGGTGGTTTACGAGAGCCGATCCCCGGTCGGGATCGTCTCTCTCTCTCTCTCTCTCTCTCTCTCTCTCTCTCTCTCTCTGCCCTCTTCGTCGCACCACGGAAGTGCACACGCGTCGTCTCTGTGCGGCGTGGCTTACGGGAGCCGAAAAATCGTGCGGGGCTTGTGTAAACGCCATAAAGCGGCGCGAGCAGCAGCTGCACGAGGCGTCGAACGAACGAACGAACGAACGAACGTACGTACGTACGGGAGCGTAGCGCGAGCTGGACCGAGAAACGTTCGCCTCGGGGAGAAAAGTAATCTCGAGAGTAGGTCGTAAAAGCGGTCGGTTGTGTTTACCCCTCGGGAAGGCTCCAGGATCGGCGACGACTCCGGGAAACGTGCGTTCTTTTTTTAGGATTCGGCCGACTATCGCGGATAAGCTCGCGCCGAGCGCCGCTCACGTCGAGCCACTAGCTCGCTCGAAAGGGACCGTTGTTGTTTTGAATCACGGTTTTTTGGATGCCTCT